TAAATATTGGGACCATCTTCGCTGTTTTCCAGATCTCTGGCAATTGTTCAGTGTCCATTGATTTGTAGATCCTAACTGTATTTGACCAGAAGGTCAACGTGATCGGACTCTTGTCCTGGGAGTACTTCCCTATCATCTGAAAAAAAATCATCTGCTTAATCTCTTCTCGTCTTCCTATCTACCAAATGATCAATACAATCTGACGTTCGTCCTCCTAGCTCCTGTTGCCTGAGCTGTCTTCGGCCTCCTGGAATCTATAGGTCAGTCAGTGACCTTAACTTTTCTTCCTATCGCCTTTCCCTCCAGATTGCCTTGTCTGTTTTAATTTCCTTGCTGCTTCTCTCACCACCACCTGTGTCTCCTCGTCTTCTGAAAGCATCTCCGCTTGTGAATTTCCCTCTGTATACCTTCCAGATCTTCTGTTCCTCCATCCTTCACTTCTGTTGCCCTATCTGCCTGCTATTTAATTTTTCCATTGCTTCTTTCAGCTTTTAGACTCTTCTCTTGTCTCAGAGTTCTTTATTGAGTCTTAAGTCTTTATTTACCTCCTCCACTGCCGTATCTCACGTTATCTGTTCCTTCCCAATAGGAATTAATCTTTCTATCCCATTCATCGTCCAATTTGCTCTTCAGAGAATTTATCATCATATCTAGATAGTGCAACTCACCTCTTTTAGTTCCCTCTTTTCCTCTGTCATGAATGTTCCTCTGCATGATCATTTTCTTGCACTCACAAGAGTTAGTAGGCTATGATGCATTTGTGCGCGTGTGGGCGCCCACTCATGCTCGTGTGACCGTGTCCTCAAGTGTCTAGGAAGCGGGCATGCGTGTGCATACTCACCTAGGTGTGGTTGTACGGGTTGTGTGCATTCATACGCGTGCGCTCGTGCCTTCATGCGCGTGTTAGTCGGCATGTGACTGTCCCTGAAGCGTTACCGCCCTTGTATGAGTGTCCTACTCGCCTCCCGGCTCTTCCTGATCTACAAAACGCTTGTTTGTCCTGTGTTGCTTGTATATTTGTGTATTGCTTGTGGGTTTGTCAGTGCAGCTAAAGAATCAGTATCTGTGCTGACTCACCTATATGTGGTTGCAGAGGTTGAGTCTCAGCTCCTGAGTTCCTCCTCTTCGCTGGTCGCTGCTTGGGTCACTGTCTCCTGGCTGGTTTCGAGAACCTTATCGTACGTCTTCTTAAAGCTATGCATGAATTCTGCTTCTACTACTACATTCTTCACTTCCTGATAACTCTAAGGCTGAAGAAATACTTCCTAGCATCCCTGTGACTCATCTCCTCCTGGTGAGGGACCATTGATCTAGGGAATTGGATCTGTGTCCTGAATTGAGCCAGAATACCTTACATCCCCCCATCCACAGGGGCTGTACAATTCCTACGGGTTTAGCTATCCCCGTGATAATAATGTGACTCGTATGTGTTTTCAACTTCAGCTGTGACCTCGCGTTCCTGTTCCCCATCTCTTAAATAATCTGTCGCTGTTCACCTCATCAGTTCCTCTCAGTATTTTGTACGTTATGATGTCAGCCCTAGTCTTGTCTTTGAATAACATCAGGCTCAGTTCCCTTAACCTGTCCTCACAGCACATACTCCTTAACCTCGGAACTAGTCTCGCTGCAAACCTCTGCACTTTCTCAAATTTCTTGACATGCTTGACCAGGTGTGGGTTCCATACTAGTGTTGCATACTCCAATATAGGCCACGCGTACAGTGTAGTGTCGTGAATGACTCCTTACTTAGATGACTAAAGGCTAGTGTTAGATATGATAGACGCGCATTTGCTGCAGCAGTTATTTGGTTGCTGTGCGCCTCAAGATATATACTAGGTATAATACTCACTTTAAGATCTTCTTTGAATGAGATTTGTAGCCTTTGCCCCCAAGCCTGTACTTCGTCTGCGGTCTTCTTTGCCCTTCCCCAGACTTCATAACTTTGCACTTGCTGGTGTTAAACTCCAATACCCACTTGTCAGACGAGACCTTCAGCTTGTTCAGATCCATTTTTTAGCCTTTCCTGGACCACATATGTTTGTATTCTCCTCAGCTTCACATCTGCGAACAGGGACACCTCTGACTGTATCCTTTCTGTCATGTCATTCACATACACAAGTAACAGCACTGGCCCTACTTAGTAGTGATCCTTGTGGAACCTCACTCCTCACATGTGCCCACTTTCCAACACTCCACGTACAATCACTTGTTTTCTTTCTGCCAAGCATGTCGTGATCCATTGTAGTGATTTCCCTGTTATTCCTTCCTGGTTCTCTAACTTTTGTACCAGTCTCTTGTGCGGTACTGTCAAAAGCCTTCCTACAGTCCAAGAAAATTCAATCTACCCATCCCTCTATTTCCTGTCTTCAGTAACCTTGTCGTAGAGCTTCCGCAAGTTTGTAACACAGGATTTTCCATCGCTGTAGCCATGCTGGTTGTTAGGAACCCCACTCGTTTCAAGGTGCTCCACCACTCTTCTGATAATCTCCATAACTTTACATACTATACTTGTCAGTGAAATTGGTATGTAGTTTAACGCCGTCTGTCTCCTTTCGTAGAAAATAGAACTATATTTGTCTTCTACACCTCTGCCAGTTGCCCTTTGTCGATAGATTTGTTGAAGATTGCTGTTAGCGGCGCACACAGTTCCTCTGCTCCCTTTCTCAGAACCGTTGGAGAAATATTATCTCTCCCCACCAATATTTTTCTTAACATTCTAACCTCAACATTACTCACAACACCACCTCACACATTTCAATAACTTAGCACTTATACCAAACATTTGTACAATACAGTTACATTGCTCTACAATGTAAACACAGATTTGTTATCAAATCCATAAATGGAACAAATAACTCATTTTCCTCGTAGGAATGTTCTTGTTTATGCTTTACTATAAATACATGATTCACTCATTCCTTCCCTCTCTATGTTCACATTGTTCTTTTGCGGATATAATGTTTCTCTGTTGCCACAGTTCATGTACTTCATCTTTGGTACTCGAGATGTACGTCAACCATACTAATAGTGTAGACATAGTTATGTCTACGCTATTAGTATGCCTTTATAGTCATCTGTTTCACTATCCTGACAACGGTGAAATGTCTGTTAATACGAGGACGGGCTGTGATCCCAGACTGTTTTCTTGATGACAGTCTTTTTACCAGTTATTTCCTGTTGCTTTTCTCTCATTTTCTTCATTTTTATGTATATTTACTCTTTGGAAATGCAAACAGACAAACACAAAGGCCATCTCAAAAGCACGAGGTGGCAAAGAAAGCTTTAGGTACACCAGTGATAGTTGTTTACACTGCTCTCTACGAAACATCTGTGGTCTTTTGTAGTCTGGCACACGTGTCTACAAATAACTTTAATGCTTTCTGGTGCGCATGTCGAAAACAAAATAAAATACAAAAGACAAGTGTAACACTTGGGTATTTTTTTACACCCAAGTTTTGAACGTAACTTTTTTCATCATTAATACAGTGAATCCAAAAATAACCTGTGTCAGCTGCTTGTGACTACACAATCAACACTTAAGTCTTCTGTACACAAAGTTACCATACAAATACCTGTATTCCTTAGTAATCTAACGATTCTGTGTTTGTCAACAAGTATCTGCGTACCGTCCATGTCAACAGTTATCTTCTCACCGTCCATGTCAACAGTTATCTTCTCACCGTCCATGTCAACAGTTATCTTCTCACCGTCCATATCAAGTTATCTTCTAACCGTCCATGTCAACAGTTATCTTTCTCACCGTCCATATCAAGTTATCTTCTAACCGTCCATGTCAACAGTTATCTTCTCACCGTCCATATCAAGTTATCTTCTAACCGTCCATGTCAACAGTTATCTTCTTACCGTCCATGTCAACAGTTATCTTCTTACCGTCCATGTCAACAGTTATCTTCTTACCGTCCATGTCAACAGATTTACTCTATCATATCTTTACCGTCATGTCAACAGTTATCTTCTTACCGTTCATGTCAACAGTTACCCTTTCTCCACCGTCCATATCAACAGTTATCTTCTCACCGTCCATGTCAACACAGAGTTATCTTCTCACCATCACATATCAAACCATTATACTTTTTACAAGTGCAGCATGTTGAAAGTATATCTTTCACCGTCCATGTTGGCAAGCCATCACAGCAATCCACACACACACACACATCACAACACACACACACATCAAATATGACTATTCAAACATACAACAGTAAATCCAATAGTCCAAGTGTTGTGAAGTAGCCTCTGACCAATGGTTATGCAGCCACACACACACACACACACACACACACACACACACACACACACACACACACACACACACACACACAACACACAGCCAGGCACAAGCACACACACACACACACACACACACACACACAGTGTATGTGTGTGTATGTACTCACCTTACTAAGTGAGTACATACACACATACAACACACACACACACACACACACACAGGACTTGACACACACCACCTACAGTATACACACGACACACACACACACGACACACCCCCAACCAACAGAACACACACACACACACACACACACACACACACACACACACACCACACACTCACCACTAGTAATGTGTTGCAGGCCACACGCAGCAGTAGTGGTGTGGCAGATAGAGGAAGTGTTAGAACGAAGACACACACACATCAAACAGGAGTAACATTATATCAAACACAAACACTACAAAGTATATATATAACATAACGAAATCCAAAAAATTACCAGGTCAGTTACACACAAATTATATATATATATATATATATATATATATATATATATATATATATATATATATATATATATATATATATATTATAAAACCAAAAACAGAATTAAATAAGTTGATGTTGAGGTACTGGAGGGGGGAGGGAGGGTAGATGAGGGAGAAACACTATTAGTGGAGGCCACACCAAGTGGAGGTCATACCAAGGGAAGTAACACCAGGAGGGGTCACACCACGCCTGGTCATACCTGGCTTGCCTCTGGGTATATACACCACTGTCTCGTTTGCGCCTAGTTGGGGGATAAGAGAACACAAATTACGTCAGTGTCCCCTTGGTAAAAAATATCTCACCAGCACTTAACAAAAAAAAATGTTGACATTTAGAAATTTCGTGATACATTTATCTTAAAATTAAATAAACGTAATAAATTTGGACAAGATATGTTGTACATAATTTTATCTTATAAGTCTAAACCTTTATATTTACACACTGAAATTGTAAGTGAAAAATTATGCCACTATTTCCCGCACACTTGATTAAATATTTTATATTTTAAAAGGCCTGAGCTTACTACCACCTGCAGCTCACAAGACTGCCATCCCCACGAGCCCCTTTGAGGCGGGGCAGATGGCAGATCAGAGGCCTAGCTTCTCCCTACGAGCCCCGTGAGGGCGGGGAATGTGGCTAGGCCTGGGCACAGTTGGTCCCAAAGATGAGGGGGTACTTGTGCCTCCTCCCATGGGAGACTTGGGTCTCAGACACTCCCTAGATAGGGAGCCAAGGCCGGGCCACCACTTGGAAAAAGCCCGGGCCGGGAGAAATACCGGCGAATCTTTAATAATAATAATATATTACTAAGAAATTGCAATGTTTTTTCATGCTTTTTGGTGTTTTGATGTTATATCAATAATATAAAACTTATTCTTTAGCATTAAACAATGGCACAAATATGAATATCTACAAGAGAAGAGTTTACTAGTATGTTGAGGTAGTGTGCGTTTGTCAGTTGTTAGTGACAGCCTCTTGGGTGAGTCACTTGTTAGTCACAGCCTCTTGGGTGAGTCACTTGTTAGTGACAGCCTGTTGGGTGAGTCACTTGTTAGTGACAGCCTGTTGGGTGAGTCACTTGTTAGTGACAGCCTGTTGGGTGAGTCAGTTGTTAGTGACAGCCTGTTGGGTGAGTCACTTGTTAGTCACAGCCTCTTGGGTGAGTCACTTGTTAGTGACAGCCTGTTGGGTGAGTCAGTTGTTAGTGACAGCCTGTTGGGTGAGTCACTTGTTAGTGACAGCCTGTTGGGTGAGTCACTTGTTAGTGACAGCCTGTTGGGTGAGTCACTTGTTAGTGACAGCCTGTTGGGTGAGTCACTTGTTAGTGACAGCCTGTTGGGTGAGTCACTTGTTAGTGACAGCCTGTTGGGCGAGTCAGTTGTTAGTGACAGCCTGTTGGGCGAGTCACTTGTTAGTGACAGCCTGTTGGGTGAGTCATTTGTTAGTGACAGCCTGTTGGGTGAGTCAGTTAGTGACAGCCTGTTGGGTGAGTCAGTTAGTGACAGCCTGTTGGGTGAGTCACTTGTTAGTGACAGCCTCTTGGGTGAGTCACTTGTTAGTGACAGCCTGTTGGGTGAGTCAGTTGTTAGTGACAGCCTCTTGGGTGAGTCAGTTGTTAGTGACAGCCTGTTGGGTGAGTCAGTTGTTAGTGACAGCCTGTTGGGCGAGTCACTTGTTAGTGACAGCCTGTTGGGTGAGTCACATGTTAGTGACAGCCTGTTGGGTGAGTCAGTTGTTAGTGACAGCCTGTTGGGTGAGTTACTTGTTAGTGACAGCCTGTTGGGTGAGTCAGTTGTTAGTGACAGCCTGTTGGGCGAGTCACTTGTTAGTGACAGCCTCTTGGGCGAGTCACTTGTTATTGACAGCCTCTTGGGTGAGTCACTTGTTATTGACAGCCTCTTGGGTGAGTCACTTGTTAGTGACAGCCTGTTGGGTGAGTCACTTGTTAGTGACAGCCTGTTGGGTGAGTCACTTGGATGAGTCACTCAAAATTTCGGGAAAAATTAATTAATGTACACTTGTTATGGATTTCACCACACACTGAATTAGTCCTTCATGATAAAGTTGATAAATTAATAAAAAAAAAAGTACACTGACGGAAAATGTAAAATATAACTTTAGTGTGTGTGTGTGTGTGTGTACTCGCCTATTTGTGGTTGCAGGGGTCGAGTCATAGCTCCTGGCCCCGCCTCTTCACTGATTGCTACCAGGTCCTCTCTCTCCCTGCCCCATGAACTCTATCATACCTCGCCTTAAAACTATGTATGGTTCCCGCCTCCACTACGTCACTTTCTAGGCTATTCCACGGCCTGACTACTCTATGACTGAAGAAATACTTCCTAACATCCCTTTGATTCATCTGAGTCTTCTTCAACTTCCAATTGTGACCTCTTGTGTCTGTGTCCCTTCTCTGGAACATCCCGTCTTTGTCCACCTTGTCTATTCCGCGCAGTATTTTATATGTCGTTATCATGTCTCACCTGACCATCCTGTCATCCAGTGTCGTCAGGCTGATTTCCCTCGACCTTTCTTCGTAGGACAATCCCCGTAGCTCTGGGACTAGTCTTGTTGCAAACCTTTGCACTTTCTCTAATTTCTTGAGGTGCTTGACTAGGTGTGGATTCCAAACTGGTGCTGCATACTCCAGTATGGGCCTGACGTAAATGGTATACAGAGTCTTGAACGAATCCTTGCTGAGGTATCGGAACGCTATCCGTAGGTTTGCCAGGCGCCCGTATGCTGCAGCAGTTACCTGATTGATGTGCGCCTCAGGAGATATGCTCGGTGTTATACTCACCCCCAGATCTTTTTCCTTGAGTGAGGTTTGCAGTCTTTGGCCATCTAAACTGTTTTGTGTCTGCGGTCTTCTTTGCCCTTCCCCAATCTTCATGACTTTGCATTTGGCAGGGTTAAACTCAAGGAGCCAGTTACTGGACCAGGCTTGTAGCCTGTCCAGGTCTCTTTGTAGTCCTGCCTGATCCTCATCCGATTTGATTCTTCTCATTAACTTCACATCATCTGCAAACAAGGACACTTCTGAGTCTATCCCTTCCGTTATGTCGTTCACATATACCAAGAACAGCACAGGTCCTAGGACTGACCCCTGTGGAACCCCGCCTGTCACAGGCGACCACTCTGACACCTCGTCACGTACCATGACTCGTTGTTGCCTCCCTGTCAGGTATTCTCTGATCCATTGCAGTGCCTTTCCTGTTGTGTGCCTGACCCTCTAGCTTTTGCTGTAACCTCTTGTGAGGAACTGTGTCGAAGGCCTTCTTGCAGTCCAAAAAAATGCAGTCGATCCACACCTCTCTCTCTTGCCTTACTTCTGTCACCTTGTCATAAAACTCTAGTAGGTTTCTGACACAGGATTTTCCTTCCCTGAAACCGTGCTGGTTGTCAGTTATACACTTGTTTCTTTCCAGGTGCTCCACCACTCTCCTCCTGATGATCTTCTCCATGACCTTGCATACTATACACGTTAGTGATACAGGTCTGTAGTTTAGTGCCTCATGTCTGTCTCCCTTTTTAAAAATTGGGACTACATTTGCCATCTTCCATACCTCGGGGAGTTGCCCAGTTTCAAATGATGTGTTGAAGATCTTTGTTAATGGTACACACAATATCTCTGCTCCCTCTTTAAGGACCCACGGAGAGAAGTTGTCTGGTCCCACCGCCTTTGAGGTGTCAAGTTCGCATAGCAGCTTCTTCACCTCCTCCTTGGTTATATGTATTTCATCCAGCACTTGCTGGTGCACCCCCCTGTTCTGATTTCCTGGAGTCCTACTGGTTTCCACTGTAAATACTTCTTTAAATCTCGTGTTGAGCTCCTGACATACCTCCCGGTCGTTTCTTGTGAATTCCCCATCACCCTTCCTCAGTCTGATTACCTGGTCCTTGACTGTTGTTTTCCTCCTGATGTGGCTGTACAACAGCTTGGGGTCAGTCTTGACTTTTGATGCTATGTCATTTTCATATTGTCGCTGAGCCTCCCTTCTTATCTGTGCATATTCGTTTCTGGCTCTTCGGCTAATCTCTTTATTTTCCTGAGTTCTCTGTCTTCTGTACCTTTTCCATTCTCTAGTACACCTAGTTTTTGCCTCTACACCTTTGGGTGAACCAAGGACTCGTTCTGTTCTTCCTATTATTTCTGTTTCCCTTGGGAACAAACCTCTCCTCTGCCTCCTTGCATTTTGTTGCCACATAGTCCATTTCTTGTACTGGTTTTCCTGTCAGTTCCCTCTCCCACTGAATGTCTTGAAGGAAGTTCCTCATGCCTGAGTAGTTCCCCCTTTTGTAGTTTGGTTTTTCCCAGCCTATTCCTGCTACTCTCTCCACTTGGAGCTCAACTATGTAGTCGAAGCACAGAACCACATGATCACTAGCTCCCAGGGGCCTTTCATACATGATATCGTCGATGTCCGAACTACTCAAGGTGAATACAAGGTCCAGTCTTGCTGGTTCATCCTCTCCTCTCTCTCTGGTAGTGTCTCTAACATGTTGATGCATGAAGTTTTCCAGTACCACATCCATCATCTTGGCTCTCCATGTTTCGGGACCCCCATGGGGCTCCAGGTTTTCCCAGTCAATCTCCTTGTGATTGAAATCACCCATAACTAGTAACTTTGCTCCCCCCATGTGTGCTCTCCTGGCCACCTCGGCTACTGTGTCAACCATTGCTCTGTTGCTCTCATCGTATTCTTCTCTTGGCCTCCTGCAGTTCTGTGGTGGGTTGTGCATTACTGCAATTATCACCTTATGTCCCTCAGACCGGATTGTTCCTACTAAGTAGTCCCTTTCGCCCGTGCCATCCATTCCTTCCATTTTCTCAAAACCCCACTGGTTTTTAATGAGCAGTGCAACTCCTCCTTCCCCTCTCCTCCCTCTGTCTTTCCTGAGGATTTGATATCCGGATGGAAAGATTGAATCTGTTATTATTCTGGTGAGTTTTGTTTCTGTGAGTGCTATTATGTCTGGGGATGTCTCCTTGATTCTTTCGTGCCACTACTCATACTTATTTGTTATTCCATCTGCATTTGTATACCACACCTTCAACTTCTTTTCTAAGACTGTGGTCTGGGAGGTGTATTGGGGTTGGGGAAGTGGAAGACCTGATAAGGAACTATGCGTGGCTGCTGTGGGGGTGGAGTTTGTAGTGCAGTGGGTGGGGGCATTGGATGTGGCATGGGTGTTTTGGTTTAGTGTTTGGTTGCACTGGGGTTGACCTGGTTGGGAGGCTTC